ACATTTTCCCTTGGGGGAAGTGACAGGTGGTGATCTTAGGAATGAATAAAATAAGCAAAAATTGATAAAATAAGTGGTTAATTTGTTTGAACTTAGCTATTGTCCTTACTATATCACGCCTAATATTCACCCTAATACATAGACACAAGAATTTATTAGATATTACCCCGCTCAGCACTAAACAAACAAGAGCTAATCTTATGGTAATTTAAAAAAAAAATACAACGAGTAAGGAGATAAAAAGAAAGCCTAAACCAAAAAATTTCGACAAATAATTAATATGTTAAACACTTAGGTGATAGAGCCTAGAACTAAAAGAAGTGGTCAAAAAAGTCAAACTAGAAGACCCAATCCCTATAAGAAGAAGAAGAAGAATGCCTAATAAAGTATATTAAAGTTACCTTACTCCTTTCTCTAAGCTTATTATTATATAGTTAAGTAACCAGTTTTGTTAACATCTTAATCCAAATCAAAACTACTCAATTCCAATTGTGTTTCCCACAAAACAAGTGGATTATCCATTAGGTTTGAATCAATTATATGGGTAACAAAGCCAAGCAAGAAGAAATTAGTTTCCCACAAACAAAAGTCAACCAACATTTTGTACGTTTGTTACTATATTATACTCTATATGTATATTATATGTTAAACCAAAAGTTGGTCTAATAGAAATATTTCACTAAAGCAATCAAATTAGTTTACAATTGGCATCAATCATTCCACTTTATTAATATAGTATGCACAACAAGTATCTAAGCTTATCTTGTTATCAAACGACTGATCCCACCCTTTACCAGTACTCACTCAAACCAGTACCCACCCTTTACCACTACATCATGAATGCAAATAATCTGCCTGTCAAATGCAATTCATTTCAACTAACCCTCATCATATTCAATCAATTAGCCCAAATGCAAGTCTCTTGCACAGATTGATTCCACCCGCCAATCAGCAGGCTAATTAATTAGGTCCAAAACATGCCACACACCTATGCACACAAAACCATTAATTTACAAACTCCATCAGGTACTTCAAGAGTGATATGGCTTTGTTTCTATCGATATGTTTAAATTACAATACAAATCAATTTAGAGGACTTAGAGGAACAAAATAGTGAAAAGAAAAAGAATCAGAAGGGGGAGATGGAATCAAATAGAGACCACAAGTCTATCAGGTACAACCAACAAGAAATCCTAAAATAGCACATACAACTATAGCGCAATTTAGAAAAATCCCCAGCCAAATAAAAGATGACTCGCAATTCAACTTTTTGCCATTGTAGAAAAGAATCAGTAAGCAAACATTGTATTTAGTTTATCTTACCATTTTGAAGAGCAAATAGAAAGTAAATGAAACACAAAGGAACTGACATCATCATTTTGGTTTAAAGAAAATACAGATTATGTATTTAAGATTTTTCAAGGAAAATCAGTTGATTCACGAAGGCAATTATCTTCTCATTTTCCCCACTAAAACTTAATAAACAAGGCTTCTTTCTCATTTTTCATGAAGCATTCGGGCAAGCCAACAGAATTATAAAATTTCAAAATAAAATGACTCGCTACCCGCACAACCTAGTTACAAATTTAAGACACACCAGAACTGTATATTACTGGTAATCCCTAGGACGAAGACACCAGAAATTTAAGTCGCATAAAAGGGGAAAACATGTTTATCAACGTAGTTATAAAGATATCCAATAGAAAAGGAAAAGAAAAATTACTAGTAAGACGATGACGAGGATTTTGAAAAGCCTCGACCAGGAATGGATCAACGGCTGACTCTTGGTCGATGACAGCTACGTCGGGAATTACTGGTAATCCCTAAACCTTCTCCATCGAAACGCCCAAATGAGAAGCTGCTGCAACTCTCGAACATATGTAAATGGGTTTGGGTAAACGGCGGGAATGAAAAAATGGGTTAAGGGGAAAAAATAAAAAAGGTTAAAAGTCGTGGGACTTAGAAACTATCAACTTGTGGCGTTGTAAACAAAAATGCCACTAAAGTATGAGTCTTTAGCGGCGTTTGTTTAAAACGACACTAAAATACAAGTCTATTGCAATTTTTGTATAAAAACGCCACTAAAGTACGAGTCTATAGCGGCGTTTGTATACAGATGCCACTAAAGTACGAGTCTATAGCGGCGTTTGTCAAAAAAATGCCACTATACATTATCTTATTGCGGTGTTTTTATAAAAACGACGCTACAGTACTACTCTTTAGCGGTGTTTGTTGAAAAAATGCCACTATGGATGAACCTACTACGACGTTTTTATAAAAACGCCACTAAAGTATTACTCTATCGCGGCGTTTTTATAAAAAAAACGCTGCTAAAGTTTCCATTTTATGGCGTTTGGGGTTTAAACACTGGTATATGTTTAAAGTTAGTGGTATTTACTCCCAAATCATCGCTAAAAATGCCGCTGTAGAACTATTTTGCTGTAGTGCTCTCTGGTAAACCTTAAACTAATAGCCCAAAATTTTGGGTGTTACATATACGATTAAAAAGTCATCCTATTTACCATGGTTGATCGGAGGAGACTTTAATAAAACATTGTGCCGGATTGTAAGCCAACTATTGAATGGTTTACTTGGTTCGATAGTACTAACAAAAGCAATGCTATAGATGAGAGGCTATATCATATTGTGGCTTCACCAGCTTGTCTTACTAGTCATCCCGATTTTTGTATATCCATTGATTATAGACTGTTTAGATCACTATTTCATATATGAGAGACACATGTTGTTCCAATGACAAGGCATGCCATGACGTGTACAAACAACATGGGCATTCACGTATGGGACGACCCTTGACAAATTGGATGCGTTTCGTGCCACTTTGAAAGAATGGAAAACTGGCGATTGTCTTTAATACGAAGATGAATTGGCCATTTACGGAAATTCATCAGTGATATCTTCCATAAGCATCAACGTCGTAGAGAATCTATAAATTATTTAAAGCCAAACGTGAGTTACATAGTTTATTGGAAACTGAAGAGCGTTAGTGGGCTCAACGTGCCAGGTTGAATTGGTTGACTCACGGGTATCGTAACATTCCTTTCTTTCATGTCTGATAATCTCAACGTTAGAAGAAGAATATGATTAAAGGTCCATTTGATGTGAATAACTATTGGACAGATAAGGAGGAGGAAATTTCAACCATCATCTCTAATTACTTTGAGAATATATTCACCACATATAATGTGTAAAATAGAAAACAAATTAACCCACAACTACAATACTATTTCCAAGTGATTTTGTATTTCTTTGAGTTGTATATAAATGAAATCAACAATGTCCTTTATATAGGCACTAGGTACTACTCTACCAAAAACAAAAAATAAATTCTATTAAAACTCATAAAAGACAATTAATTCTTATATCACCCTTTAACCTTTCACCTACTAAAACACTAGACCTTTTACTTTCCCATTAACTTCTAAACTTAAAGAAAAACAATAAAAACCACATTTAAGTTTATTCAACAAAACTCCCCCTTAAACTTAAATGCTTCTACCATCCATCATGCCAATCATCTTCTTGCATTTGTCAAGAAGTACTTTCGGTAGCGGTTTTGTGAAGATATTCGTAATTTGATCCTGACTTGCCACATGCACCAATTCTACACTTCCTTGCTTCACATGATATCAGATAAAGTGAAAACGAACATCGATGTGTTTTCTTCTTTCATGGTTCACCAGGTTCTTTGCCAACTCAATTGCTGATTTGTTGTCAACATGAATCACGGTTGCACTTAGTTGCTTTAGCTCCATCTTTCTCAACAAATTTCTAAGCCACATCGCATGACATACACTCCAAGATGCTGCCACATATTTAGCTTCACACGTCGAGAGTGCTACGATCGGCTGCTTCTTTGAGAGCCAAGTAAACACAATATCTCCCATAAAAAACACATATCCCGTTATGTTTTTCCGATCGTCTATGTCTCCACACCAATCGCTATCGGAGTACCCAACCAATTTGTAATCTTCTGCTTTCGAGTAGAACAACCCGAGTGACACCGTTCCTTGGATGTATCGTAGGATTCGTTTCAACGCCTTCCAATGTGAATAAACTGGATCCTCCATGAACTGACCTACAATGCCAACACTTAGCAAAATATCCGGCCTTGTGCATGTGAGATATCGAAGGCTTCCTACCAAACTCCGGTATCTACTCACATCGACACATTCCCCTCCATCAAACTTTGATAATTTTGCACCTGGTTCCATTGGTGTTGATACTAGGTTGCAATTTTCCATATTGTATTTCTTCAAAATATCTTTTGCATATCTCTCATGTGATACAAAAATACTCGTCTTTACTTGTCTAACCTCCAAACCAAGAAAAAATTTCATTAAGCCCTAATCAATCATCTTAAATTCTCGAGTCATTGTGCCCTTAAACTCTTCTATCATCTCATCATTGTTACCCATAAAAATGAGATCATCAACATAAAGAGCAACAAATAACATGTTACCTCCATTCTTCTTTGCGTAAAGGCCATGCTAGTAGGGACATTGCTTGAATATGTTCTCCTTTAAATATGTACCGATACGTGTATTACATGCCCATGGTGCTTGCTTCAACCCGTAAAGAGCCTACTTCAATTTTAGCACCTTCTTATATTCTCTGACTTTTACGTACCTGGGTGGTTGTTCGATGTAGATATCTTCTTCGAGCACACGATTCAATAATGTCGACTTGACATCCATTTGAAATATCGACCATTTGAATTGAGCAGCTTGTGAAATGAGTAATCGAATTGTCTCCATTCTTGCCACAGGAGTAAACACCTCATCATATTCGATTCATGCCTTTTTCTTGTATCCCTTCGCAACCAGTCGCGCTTTGTACCGTTCTATCTCACCTTGAGCATTCATCTTTTTCTTGAACACCCACTTCACACCAATAGGTTGACTTCCTTTCGGTAATTCCGCTAGCTCCCATGTGTTGTTGCGGTCAATTGCTTCAAACTCCTCGTTCATGGTAGTTTGCCACTACTTGTCTCGCAACACCTCTTTAAAGCTGATATTTTCAGCATCTGCCAAAACACATACATGGTGTACTTCATTTGTCGAATCATACAAATCTTGTAAACTTCGTATTTTTGGTTGTCGTGGTTCATCTTCATCATCAATATTTTCAGAGTTTGTTGGTATGCTTGTTGGTGCAACGACTGATGATTCTCCAACTTCGATGATAGCCTCTGCCAAATTATTCCAGTCCCACTCGCTTGCTTCGTTTACTCGTACATCACCTTCTTGCTTATCGGATCGAATAGCTTGTACCCGTTTGTCTTCTAATCATACCCAATAAAAATATGCTTTTACCTTTTGTCTTTGAACTTCGTTCTTCATTGATCCGGTACATGTTCATAAGGAACACTACCAAACACTTTAAGATGAGAAACTGTCAGCTTTTATCCGCTCTATGCCTCTTGTTGTGTTTGATCATCTAACTTCACATGTGGACATCGATTTTGTGCATAGATGGCACATTGCACGGCTTCTGTCCAGAATTCCTTCGGCATCTTCTTTCTCTTGAGAATTGATCGAACCATGTCGAAAATGGTCTGGTTCTTCCTCTCGGCCGCACTGTTTTGTTGAGGAGAGTATGATGCAGTTAGAAATCTCCTTATTCCTTGCTCCTCGCAATACTCCATGAAAGTCGTCGAAGTATACTTGTCACCTCTATCGGATCATACGGCTCTGATGTGTCTACCAATTGCCTTCTCCACCATCACTTTGAACTTTTTGAACACCTCAAATGCCTCAGATTTTTCTTTCAAAAAATGAACCCAAGTTTTTCATGAGAAATCATCGATAAAGGAAATGAATCAACTCGAGAGGATGTTTAGCTCGATATTCTTCCTTCTTTTGAAATGAGGTTCTCGATTGCTTGCCAAGTACACATTCTTCACAAATTTTGCCCTCATAATCCATATTCGGTAGCCCCTGCATCATGTTCTTCTTTGAATAGGTACATTTGATGCATTTCCAAAAGACACTTGAACATCTTCAATCTTTTTCATCTCTTTGAATAGGTACATGTGACAACACATATGGTTGCTTGCGCCCGAGTCGAGATACCACATAGTGTCATTGTTGATGTTGGATTCATTTTGAGCCATCAAGAGAAAGCCTTCATTCGATTCATCTTCCAATGCTAGGTTGGTTGTTTCTTCCATCTTTTTATCGGCTCGAAAATATTTTGCAAAATTCCCCACTTTACCGCAGTTATAACATTTGTCAGAGTTGTAATCTTTTGCGTAGTGGCCATACTTGTAACACTTGTAGCACTCGATGTTGGAATAGTTTGATTGGGCGCCTCTTCCTCGACCGCGTCCTCTTCCACGCCAATTTGGTTGGCTTGATTGTCCATTCTCCTTATAATACCCTTCATGATTGTCGCCTTGACCACCACGGCTACGACCTTTACCGCAAAAAATTTGAGAATAGAGTACATTTTCATCTTTGATTTACGCCTTGGTTTGAAGTGCTTACTCAAGTGTCTCCTCCTTCTTTTTCTTTTTACGTTGTTCGTGTGCCTCGATAGAACCAGCAAGCTCGTTGACTGTGAGCGTCGCAAGGTCTTTTGACTCTTCTATCACGTACACAATATTCTCAAAATTGTCAGTTAATGATCTCAAAATCTTTTCCATAATTACTGCATCAGTTAATGCTTCGCCATTACGAATGAGTTGGTTCACCACTATTTGTATACGCGTGATGTAGTCGGATACACTTTCTGACTCCTTCATCTTCATGCTTTCTAACTCACCACGAAGAGTTTGGAGATGCACTTGCTTGACTCAATCAGTTCCTTTGAACACTTTTCCTAAAATGTCCCATGCTTCTTTTGAATTAGTTGCACCAGCAATCTTCTCAAAGTCCGACTCATCAACGGCTCTGAATAACTTGTATAGTGCCATCTTATCCTTCGATTGCGCCTCTTTCAACGCCCTGTTTTAAGCAACAATATATCCCGTGGTTGTTGTTGGTTCTTAGAAACCTTCTTTGACCACCTCCCACGCATCTTGAGATCCGAGAATAGCTCTTATTTGAATGCTCCCATTCTCATAGTTTTCCTTCGTTAGTTGTGGTAGCGGAATTTGACCCGTCACATTTGCCATTGGCTTTGATGCCAATTTGTAAAATAGAAAATAAATTAACCCACAACTACAATACTATTTCCAATGATTTTATATTTCTTTGAGTTGTATATAAATGAAATCAACAAGGTCCTTTATATAGGCACTAGGTACTACTCTACCAAAAAAAATTCTATTAAAACTCATAAAAGACAATTAATTCCTATATCACCCTTTGGCCTTTCATCTACTAAAACTCTAGACCTTTTATTTTTCCATTAACTTCTAAACTTAAAGAAAAATAATAAAAACCATATTTAAGTTTATTCAACATAATGTACCTCCTAGCTCTTGCATATTGAATGCCATTGACACTAAGATTACACCATCAATGAATGAGGAATTATCGAAACCCTTTGAAAGAACTAAAGTTATGAATTCCTTTCACGATATTAATCCTTGAAAGGCGCCAGGAATAGACGGATTGCCTATCACTTTTTTCAGGAAACATTGGTCGTAGTAGGTGAGGATGCTATCAATTTATGTCTAGACCTACTAAATGGTCATAATGACATGGCCATGGTGAATCGTACCATTATAGTTATAATTCCAACAGTTGAAGAGTTGAAGTATATGAAGCAGATTGTATCCAAGGTTCTTATAAACCTTTTAAAGACACTTATAGCGACCTGTATTAGTGATAACCAGGCCGTTTTCCTTCTGTGGAGAAAATTTTCTGGTAATATACTAGTTGCCCATGAATTTTTTTCATTATATGAATTCCTCTAAAAATGGTATTAATAAATGAGCTACATTAAAGTTAGATATTGAGAAAACATATGATAGAGTTGAATGGAGGTTTTTATAGAGTGTTATGCTTAAACTTAGTTTTGGTGAAGAGTTCGTGGAGTTAATCATTAGTTTTGTTACTACTTTTTCATTTGTGGTGCAAGTCAATGATCACCAAACTAATGTTTTTGTTCCTAGTAGAGGGCTACGTCAAGGGGTTCCTTTATCACCGCTCCTATTTATTTTTTTCATACAAGGACCATCAACTATGTCCATAAAGCTTAAATCACTAGTTCCATTGATTGAGTATGAGCCTCGTAGAATGGGCCTCGAGTTTTGCATTTTTTATTTACGGATGATAGTTTAGTATTTCTTAAGAAATCACCTTTTGAGGAAACCCGTATCGATGAAATATTGAAATTTATACTGAATCCTCTAGATAGAGGATAAATTTGGATAAGTTATCTTCTATTTTAGTCTAAAAAAGGATTCTAGAATATTGTGCTCAAATTAAGAATATTTTTTGAATACAAGAAGTGGATTCACTGGGACATTATATTGGATTACCTTTGCATATATGTAAGAATAAAACGTGAACATTTGGTTGCCTGCGTGATAAAGTGTTGTTAAGAGTTACACGAGTTGTTATCCTCTGGTGAAAGGGAGATGTTTCTTAAAGCCATTGCCTAAGCATTGCCCCAATATGATATGTCATTTTACTTATTGTGGAACATCTTTGAATGAAATAATTGGTATTATGCGTCAGTTCTAATGGACTGGGAAAATATCTTAGCATGGTTGGCCTTTAGTTGCTTGAGACATTATCTATAGACAAAAGTGAGTTGAGGACCTAGGGTTCTAGGATATTAGATCGTTTAATCTAGTCATGTTAAGTAAACAGGTACAACGACTTATTAAAGAACTAAAGTCCCTATTTGCTCAGGTCTTCCGGGTGTAGTATTATCCTAATAGCGATGTTCTTTATGCACACACTGGTAAAAAGCTCATATGCCTATGAGGGATACCCTAAGGCCCTCCAAGCTTTTCCAGGTGTATTTTTGTTTTGTATGTGGGATGTAATAGTTCCATATGTGTGATTTCCGGTAAGTGGGGGTATTCAGCCACTACAACACTGACGAAAACTAAGAGCAACCATGAGGAGAATTCATGTGTAATGATCAGGCATAGTGAGAATGAGACAAGGTGGAGACCTTCTTCTCAGCATAAGATGCTAATCGATGTTACAAATTCCCATCACCCCATGTTCATATGATAACATGGTGTGGGTTAATCGTGATTCTGGTCAGTACCCAGTGTGTTTGGCTTACTGGTGGTTGCAAAAGACTACTCATATCACTATCGTAATTCCTATGTTATGGAATCATATCACCAAATTAAAAGTTCTTCCAGAATCACGTATATTTGCTTGGAGACTTGCTCATGTTGCTCTTCTTGTTGATGCTCAAGTATGGACAGCTGGCCTGGGTGATGGATTGTGGCCTATTTACAAAATAGAGATTACAATGGTTTCACATGCTTTTGGACATTGTTGTTTTTTATATGACACTTTTTCACTTGCTGGCACACCAGGTTCGCTTCTTACTATTAATTCCATATCTCTAGAAAATAGGTTAGAATCTACAGCTGTTGTGGTTGGATTGACAGATTTTGCAGGTTTTATTATGTTGCTGTGGAAAATTTAGAATGAAAGGAATGGTTTGGTTCATGATGGCCGACTTCAACCTTCATGGGTTCTAGTTGTTAATTATAGGATCCTCCACTAGGATTTCCTTGCAACACAACAGACAACCCCCACATCTCTGAATCGCGCTCAAGATGTCGATAAATAGACTCCTCCATATGGTGATGTTATAAAATTGAACGTGGATGATCCTACCACAAAAATTAGTTGCGGTTGGGGTGATGGAAATGGACACCCGAGGAATGGTTCTCGATGGTTTGGCGACTACTTTAGCTGGATGTTTTGATTACGGATTAGCAGAGCTACACAACTTTGTTGTTATTGTTAATTTAGCTTTGGAGGAAAGATGTCCATCCTTTTTTTTTAAAGAGGGTACTTTGTATTATAGACAAATGCCAAGTACACCACCTCAAGTACCTCATTAAAAAACCTCTCTAACCCTAAATAGAGGAAAAAGAGTGACCAACAGGTAGAAGGAAACTCATACAAGGATACCTCAGAGTAACAAACACTGCATACCTCTAACCACAACAGAACTCACACAAACACTCATGCATACCAAGCAGCATAATGAAATTATAATAGAAAGGACAGCAAACACATAATTCAATTGAACACGACAACAATGTGGAACAACCAAAACAGCAACAGGAACCAGGAACACCAAGCCTGCTGAACACTACATTACATCATAACTACAACAAGATTCATCCCAGCAAGCAATAGACAGCATAAGCATTACATTAAGAAGTAAAGAACCGAATAATCATCGAAAATCATAGACTTAAATGCATTCACCAACAATCACGCACCAAACTCCAAACAATTTTTAAGGTTGGAGAACGTCAACTAATTAAATCCCAAAACTCTTACTTAAAGACAGCGTTTCCTCCTTTTTAACATAAGTAGTCCACCTTTTCTTCAAATCCGAATTTGATAGAGAACACCAGATAATTAAGAGGAATTTAGATTAGATTTCAGCAAATTGAATCTCTTCAATGCTAGATCTCTTCTTTTTTTTCTCAACTTTCGAAAGGACTTTGTCCTGAATATCCAATAGAGAGCTAAATTTCAAATGCTT